AATATTTTAAAATTAAAGTTAGAGCGGACATTTAACTGAAGAGACCAATAGTTCATGGTTCTTATGATCTAATCAGTTAAATTGATAAGCAAATTACTGATGTAGTAATTAAATAAAAAATTAATAAAAAATAATTATATGCATATAATATATATATATATATATATATATAAGAAATAAATCTAATAGTCAGCACAATAATACCACAATATATATGAAGTTGAAAGAAATAACACCATATGACTACAAATGATATGAAAATAAATAGCGAACTCTTTGAGAGGATCAATTTTTACTTTAATTTATTCTAATTGTTTTTCTTTTTTAACATTTTTTCGGTTAGGCTTGAAAACCATTTTATTTTTAAGAACCATTGGTTCTTGGTCTAAGTTTAATAGCGGCTCAACTTTTATTTAAAAATACTATTTTCGGTCTTTAATATAAGACCTTATTTAACTTTATTTTGGTCCTTAAAATAAAACTCTAATCTACTTTGTCTCTAATATTTATGCATTTTTTCTAAAGTAATTCTTCTAATAATAGTAGTTCTAGCCAACACATTTGATTAGTAAGGATATTTTAGAAAAAATAATATCTATTTATTACAAGTAACTAATTTAACTTATTTTCTTAATATTTTCAAATTAGTCAACTAGCTCTTATAGTAAGGTTGGAAGTACTAGTTTTTTAATCCAAACCAAGTGTTTAAGTAAATTTGGTTGACCGTCCAACCCGTCCAGTCCGATACTTTTGACAAATGGTTATACTATGACATCAAACTACTATAATCTAACCCTCCACACAAAGCTAAGTTACAAATTTATTTTTTTGAAAGAAATAAATATCTTTTATAAAAATCTAATTTGATAAATAAAAATTTAAAAATATATTGGTATGGATTTATGTACTTAAAAATAACCTATGCTTGTCACCCAAAAAAAATCTACTCAAGAATTAGCTAATTTTGTTAGGATTAAAATGCATCTAGTATTCCAAAATATTTTTTCAAGTGCATTTAACATCTCGAAATATTTTTTTTAAATGTGTCCAATATGTCAAAATGTTTTTTAGATATATCTAACACCTTAAAATATTTTTTGTATCTTAATGCTGAATATACTTAAAAAAATTTTAAGTGCTGAATATATTTAAAAAAAATATTTCGACATGAATGAAGTTTAACTCAACTTTGTTATAACAAAATAACTCCAGGCGTCTTCGTCTCTGATCTTAACTATTCCTAGCTAGCTAGAATAGTCTAAGGAATATTGTACTTTGAATAGTATGCGTGGCCTCATTACACACTTTCAATCTTTCATTCTATCGCTATCTTACAGCTCATCCTGCTACTTTAGCGAAGGAGCCGTGGGGTTGACGTATCATAAATTACTTTTGTTATATGCTATTTCCAATCTTAATTATAACATTTTATTTAGATCTTACAATTAAAAGTAGTATATATATTTATATAAAACTTCAAAAGGTACAAAGTGTTATATGTTAACATTACTAATTAATATTTGTTTCATACTGAAGCTTCACTTTGGGACATGTTGAAACTAAGATTCTATGCTGGATTTTTCATATGTATGCTGTACAGTTCAAGATGAAATTCAATCACAATATAAATTATAAAATCAAGTTTAAATGTAATTAGGGTTCACTATAATTAGTTTAAATATAATTTAAAAAATGTCAAATCGATTCCCTACTAATTATAGGTTGTTGAAAATCACTGTTAAATCATGTGAATTGATTATTTGATTGTTCCTTTGCACACTAAAGGTGAATTTTGCGATTTTGAATAAAAGAATAATAATAAAAATAATTATTTAGTACGAAATTTAAATTTAAGTTGTCCAACCTAAAAAGATGACATATATATATAATAGAAATTATATACACAGATATGCTAAAAAGAAAATTTCTTTTATCAAAAGAGACCTATTATTACCACCAAGATCTAACGACAAAAAAAAAAAAACTAATCTCTTATAACATGTTAAAAAATGTTTAAATTCTCTAAAAAAAATTCATATTTAATAATCAGTCATGTTTCAAATAAGATTGCCAAAAAGATAACTATGCAAAAAAAAAAAGACTTTTATTTTTTTTCTCGTAAAATTTGAAAAATTGACTTAAAAGCGTCCCATACTTTTGTGAAAAAATTAGTGAAAATCTTCCATTTAAAATTTTATTAGCCACAAAGATTTAATTAATTATAATACACAAAAACTATTGACACTCTACAAATTTAGTGCATAAACTATCACTACTGTGATTTACTTCCTTCTCATTTTTATTCAATGAGATACTTTTATCAATTTTTGCTATTTTTATTGTAGAAAAAATTGAGATAAATTTTACAGCTAAGACCTCCAGAAGATTCTTACAATTTTTTTTCTCCGTCTTTTCTTTGCTCAATTATATTTATTTTCCTTCTAAACAATCACAGTCAAAGGTTTTAACTTTGAACTATTCCATCTGTACTGATGAGACATATAACCCTCTAATTCTATAATATAAATAAGAAAAAAAGTATAGGAAAAATTTTAAAAAAACAGAATTTTAAAATTTAAATTAAAAATTATTATAAAAATATGTGTATTTACTTTTTAAATATAATTATTCTGAAATTCAATAATTATTTTTTTAAAATTTTTTAAAATTATAATATTATTTTTATAATTATATAAAAAAGTATAATATCATTTTTATGATTATATAAAGTATTTTTCTGATCTTAAATATTAGATCCTTGTACACATGTGTATAAGGGTATTTAAGAGAGGAATAGTAGTATACACGGCCTTTTAGACTGTCACCTAAAGAATTCTGCAAACGAAAAAAAAGACTGTCACCTAAGAATTAGGTTGTACGATTTCGAAAAGTTAGGGAAATAATTATTTATTTTTATGATTAAATACTCCCAAAAGGCCATCGTGGTCAAGACATACATATCACAAAATTGAAAATTGTATATTTAGGGCATGAAAATAATTTTCTTTTCACATAGATACAAAGTTTGGTATCCTTCTCTACTATAGTTGGGAAAAATAATTAATCAATATGAAAGCTTCATAAAAATAAATAAATCAATAATATATTTCCACAGGCGGATTGCTACATGGCAAAAGTTTCTGTGGCCCCCCCCGGGGGGGGAGATGAAATCTTTTCCACTTTAAAGAATATGCACTGTGCAGCCTTACTTTACAAAGTAAAAAAGCTGCGCAGTGAGGCAAGGCCATGCCATGCATTAATAATTGTGGCGAGAGAGCGGGAAACGATAAAGATAAATAATTATACAGAATACTCGGTCCCTTTTTTAATATAAAATATAAATAATCAACTTATATAATAAAAAACTGGTTACTAATAAGGGGGAGTGAACAAAAATAATCAAGAGAAATAATCATAGATCATACGCTCAAAAGTTAATATAATTTTTGTTCTTCAAATTTGTTTTCATTTTGATTTTCATCTCTTAAATTTCAAATTATATGTTTTGATCTTTTAAATTTTATTTCATTTAAAATATTGGTCTTTATAATGCATTAAAAACTTGAATCATTTTGTCCTTTGAGAAACCAAAACCTTTGCTTTGAAACTTAAAGAACTAAAACCAAAATGAAGACAAACTTGAGGGATCAAAGATGATATTAACCCTTCTAAAAATTAGCTAAACTAGTTATCTGTAAAAAATATGTATTGATTTTTTTTAAATTTGTATTAACTTCTTTAACATGTGTAATCAATACTGATATTTCAAAGAAATTATAAATTCAAAAGATAAAGTAAATTGAGTTATTAGACATTTAATAATCAAGATGAATCTCTTATATTTAGAATTAGAATAGAAGGGAGTAAAATACAGCAGGGAGAATAACCCTTCAAAATTTGAGGAGACAAATAATTACACTTACGAACCAAATTCTGAAAATGAAATTAGGGTGCCAAGTCCTTAGGATCATCATAGAAGAAGTGGCTTGATAAGAATTCAGGTATGAACGAGTTTGGGGGTGGTGATGTATTATAGTAGTACATCAAAATTGGACGGCTTAGTTTTAATATTATTTTATATATTTTTATATGTTAATGATCGCTAGTGACGGTGAATACCTTGAACTAAAAAAGAAGAGTAAAACCTGTTAACGGTTATTTACCCCAACAACAGCGCCATCCGCTATGTTTGATTCTGAATTATGTTTCAGATTTGAGTCTCACGTTGATATATTTAAATTGTATAATAAAAATAAAAAAGGAAAAGGAAAAGCTGAGGGAAAAAAAGGAATCCTAGTTGAAATAACTTGAAACTTCATTTTCATCTAACCATGCAGAGGAGTAGCTTGGGAGAATGACACTTGGTGAAGAGATAAATAGTGACACGAGATCTTAAATTATATAAATAACATTATTGAAGGATATAGCGTTTTGGTTGTTTTTGTTTTTAAAAATCAACTTCTCATCCTTATTTTCAAAATTCAAGGCCCCAACTCCTAAGTGTTATTTCCCCTTTAAAATATGATCCAAATCATTACGAACCTTCGTTAATTACTTTAGACTGCTTGTTTTATGAGAAGAGGAAATAAGCCATAACAAGAGAAATACATAATTTAACACCAAGAAGACTTTTGAGTATTTAAATTTCAATTATTACCTATATATTGCTGACAAAGCCAATATATTTTAAAATTTTTTGTCTCGGAGTGTTTTTTTTTAATTTTTTGGTGAAGGTCTCGGAGTGTATTTTATGAAAAGAAAATAAGCTACTTGTGTCCACATTATTACACTCTACTTTATTCCCTGCTTTGCTCGATCGCAGCCTCCGTCAAATCAGAGTTCGTACCAACCTGGGTCAAATTGGTCCGAAAATAATTTTTTAATTTATTCGGTCCGTAAAAGTAGAAATTAAACTAAAACTACCCGAGGGAAGGCAAGTGGTAGGTGGTAGCTGGGTAAGAAAGAAACTATATAAAGGGAGGTATTAGGTTGCAGAGAAGATCAGGAACCAGTCCCAGTTTGGGAGGCTGAAGAAGAAGATGATGGGCTCCAAAATGGCCTCTGCCACTCTTACTCTCTTCTTAGCTATTGTGTGTGTGAGTGCTAACAACTACGTTTACTCCTCTCCGCCTCCTCCTCACTCTCCACCGCCTAAGCCTTACATCTACCACTCTCCTCCGCCGCCTCCGGTGGTGCACACCCCTCCTAAGGCACCATACCACTACCCATCTCCTCCTCCACCGGTTTATCACTACAAGTCTCCACCACCACCACCCAATAAGCCTTACAAGTACCCGTCTCCACCGCCGCCGGTGCACGTGTATCCTCCCAAAGCTCCTTACCACTACAAATCTCCACCACCTCCTCCTAAGAAGCCATACAAGTATCCTTCCCCTCCGCCACCGGTCCACCACTACACTCCTCACCCGGTCTACCACTCTCCTCCGCCACCAAAAAAGCCTTACAAATATCCATCTCCTCCTCCTCCGGTTCACCACTACACCCCCCATCCGGTCTACCACTCTCCACCACCACCGAAGAAGCCATACAAATACCCATCTCCTCCTCCACCAGTTCACCATTACGCCCCTAAACCGGTTTACCATTCTCCACCACCACCCAAGAAGCCTTACAAGTACCCATCTCCACCTCCACCGGTTCACCATTATGCCCCCCACCCCTGTCTACCACTCTCCACCACCTCCAAAAAAGCCATACAAGTACCAATCTCCTCCTCCTCCAGTTCATTACGCTCCGCCCAAATCTCCTTATCACTACAAATCTCCACCACCACCAAAGAAGCCTTACAAATACCCATCTCCTCCTCCCCCGTTCACTATTACGCACCTAAACCGGTTACCATTCTCCACCACCACCCAAGAAGCCTTACAAGTACCCATCTCCTCCTCCCCCGGTTCACTATTACGCACCTAAACCGGTTTACCATTCTCCACCACCACCCAAGAAGCCTTACAAACACCCATCTCCTCCACCGGTTCACCATTACGCTCCTAAACCGGTTTACCATTCTCCACCACCACCCAAGAAGCCTTACAAATACCCATCTCCTCCTCCGCCGGTTCACCACTACACCCCCCACCCGGTCTACCACTCTCCTCCACCTCCAAAGAAGCCATACAAGTACCCTTCTCCTCCTCCCCCGGTTCATCACTATGCTCCCCACCCGGTCTACCACTCTCCGCCACCACCCAAAAAGCCTTACAAGTACCCATCTCCACCTCCTCCGGTGTACCATTATGCCCCCCACCCAGTCTACCACTCTTCACCACCACCACAGAAGAAACCATATAAGTATCCTTCTCCTCCTCCTCCGGTTCATCACTATGCTCCCCACCCAGTTTACCACTCTCCACCTCCAAAGAAGCCTTACAAGTACCCTTCTCCACCTCCACCGGTTCACCACTACACTCCTCACCCGGTCTACCACTCTCCACCACCTCACAAGAAGCCATACAAATACCCATCTCCTCCACCACCGGTTCACGTCTACCCTAAGCCCCACCCACACCCACAGCCTCACCCAAAACCACACCCATACCCACACCCTAAGCCGGTTTACCACTCTCCTCCTCCGGTTCACAAGCCCTACATCTACGCTTCCCACCCCCTCCGTACCACTCCTAGATAGTTCCTTCCCTCAGCTCTCTTTTGCTCCACTTGGTAAGCCTTTTAACTTCCTCTTCACTTCTACTATTCTCTTTCATATTTTTCCAAGAACATTCAATCCTGTGGTATTAATCTGGGAAAGTGTTTGTATTGAGAATGAAAATTAACAAGGGTCTGCTAGAACTTTTGATGTCTTAATGAAAAGTTCTTTACTTTCCCGCTCCAGCTCTCAGAATGATTTGATTACTCGAGATCTCGATCAAGACAAGCTTTTTTATTTTTCCCAGAATTTCAGTATCCAATAAAGTTCATCTAACGATATTAAGACTGGTCTCCTTTTCATGCAAAAATCCGATGAAAAAGACTAATGGGTTTTTCTTTTTTTTTAAATATGCATGTGTATTTACAGGATCGTAGAGTCCGAGTAAATAAAGAAAGCGATGGACAGAACGAACGAAGCCCCTTTACAATACGGCAGAAGGCGAAAGTTGAATGGAAGCAAAGTTTCCGCGTTTTGTATTAGGGGAAAAAAGTTGTGTTCAATTATTTATTCCACAGTTTCTTTGGTTTTTGTTTTATGATGTAATGTGACAGTTGTGAGGCACTCTGTTCCGTCATGTATTTCGTCCTTTTGGTGAAATATCATTATTGCTATTAGTAAAAAAAAAAAAAAATTTATGCATGAATTGTAGTTTTCAGTCGGCTGCTTTTGCAGGGACTTGAGAAACTAATATATTAATAAAATAAATATTCTCGTTCACGACCCCCCCCTCTCTCTGATTCTCTGTCTGTTCGCAGGTGGTCCACAGTTTGAATTTTCCATTATGGTGTTTTCGGGTGATAATTACACAGGTTCAAGAGCAGGGCATGCCAGAACCGGAAACATGATAGGTAAACTGAAGGATTAATGCAAACTTTGTTTGTTTGAATTTGAATTTTTTTATATTAGATTTAGTTCTTTAAATTTTAAATTATAGATTTTGGTTTTTTAAATATTTTTAATTTAAAATATTAGTTCTTATAATTTAATAAAAATTAGGACTATAAAGATCAAAATTTATGATTTAGAATTTAAGAGACTAAAATTAAAATAAGAATAAATTTAAAAGATTAAAAATTATATTGGCAAAAAAAAAAAAAAAAAAAGCTTAAGCATTATCATGCCACTATGACTTTTCTTCGCGAAGAATGACGTGAATAATGGATTGGAACTTATTCATCGTTACTTGATGTTGGTCTCTGATCAAAATTGGTTTATATCAAAAGATCAGAGAGAATAAAATGTAATGTAATGAATGATTTTTTTAAATTCTATCAAGACCGAAAATGAGTGTATACAAGTATAAGCGGGTATTTGGATTATTTAAGAAGTGTTTTTAAAAAGTATTTTTCTGTAAATCGAGATAAATTTCTTCACATATTTATTTTGTATATTATAAAAGGATTTTTAAAATCATAATTTTATTTCTACTTAAACATCCCTAAATATATTCATTCATGCCGGGTGAGGTCCATTCGTTAATTTCTGTAAGGTTATATCTAAAGTTAGGTAAAAAAAAAAAAGCCTAATTTTTTTTGTAACATGTTAATTGAAATTATTGCCTGACATTTTTTGGTTAACAATATATTCAAAGATCATACCAAAAAATAAATCTATTCAAGGACTTGGTCATCCATAATGACACCATGCGATTCATATAATATATTGTAATGAGGTTTATATTGAATAATCTTATCATGCCAATACGAAATATTTGAATCAGCAGAACTTCGCAAATTATTTCACATTTGTCAGGGCAGAAGACAAAATAATGCGGGGTAATTTGCAAAGTAGAACCGCGTGAAAGAATACTACCACATGCGTTAAAAATATATTAAGATTATTTTGCACAAAATTGTCTTAGGTTTAACTCCAACAAAATTAGATTCTGTAGTGTCAACATTTCTTGCCTTGTTGTTCTGGTTATTGAACAGTAATTTGATGAAAGCTGTGTTTGAACTTGGAACATGTGGGCAGACCCATTAAGAGTAAAAAAAATATTTCCAAAACGTATTAAGAAGGAAAAAAAGTTATTTATTTCAACAACTCTTACAGTTTCCTTAATTTCTTTCCCCCCCATAGCTGACCACAAATTTTTAAAACATTGTGTATTTTTGTCTGTTAATCTTGGAATCTTCAAATAAATCAAAATATAATGCAAACAAATTTCACCCAAAAAAGTATAATGCAAATAAATAAACTACAGATTTTAGCATATATTGTGATAACATATTGTTCTTGTCTCCCATTTAATCTCTTCTATGTCCATAAAAGGTTAAGGTGTGCCCAGCACCCCGAACTATTTACCTAGATGCGTCTAGTGGCCTAAAGTAATTTTGGGTGCATCCAGTGTTCTAAACTAATTAAAATGGCGCGTCCATATCCTAGGCTTGTAGAAATATTATGTTTAACCGTTACTTTCCTGACTCAACTTAAAGTTGACCCTAGATATTCTATATGGTAGACACATGGACATTTGATCTTACTCAAAATTTAATTTATTTCCTTCCTATTCTTCTAAATAAATTGACTTTTGAGTAAGAATAATACACATCGGGTGCCTATGTGTCTACCATGTAGAATATCTGGGGTCAACTTTAAACTGAGTCAAGAAAGTAACGGTTAAGCATAACATTTTTGTCAGCCTGGGATATGGACGCACCGTTTTAATTAGTTTAGGATACTGGATGCACTCAAAATTACTTTAGGCTACTGGACGCACCTGGATAAATAGTTCAGGATGCTGGCTGCACCTTAATCCTACATAAAATAATAAAATGATGAGGTACATGTTCTCATTGCTTCACTTTCTCCCATGAACACTAATAAAAGAGTCCAACAATAGATATAAATAGGATTTTCTTTTTTAAAAACTGTGCATTAAAAGTTGATTGAATTACTATTTTTAACTGGCCTATGCGTCGGGGTTAAGAGAAACTCCAGAACTGTACTGTTTTGAGTTAAGATGGTGATGGTTGATTGGTCAATTTGTTTTCGATTTCCTAACTTTTCTGGACAAATCTTATCTTAAAAACATTATTGGAGAGCCTCAGCCCCACCATCTCCCCCACCATATGTGAATGTGGCCCGTGACCCTCAGACCAGGCTTCAAGGTGCTCCGAATACGCTTGTCTCTCATTAAAATAAACCAATATATATTTATACGTAGAGATCGAGTGAAATAAAGGGATGGCTGGATATATAGATTTTAATAAGATTTCAATTGAATTTGAATTTTATGATAATCAAAAATAGGTTTGAAAAGTCACTCCTCTGCTTCTATTCTATTTTGAGTTTTTTATAGGGAAAATTACACACATGTTCCAAGGATTAAAATTATTCATCTAAGGTTCCACGAAATATCAAAATTAGTAGCAGGTCCCAAGGGACCTTAGAATATTATATTGTAACTGTAAAATGATATCACTGTCCCTCAGGTTCCCAATTCACAGTTTTCTCTGTCAATGCGATTGACAACCTCAACGTTGAGTATTAACAACCCAATGGGAAGCTGTTGACAACCTAGGTAGTATCCGCTAACAACTTACTTTATAGGATAACATAACATCCACATAAGAGAAAATTATAATCAAATAGTATAATACAAATACTTTAATACTGAAATAGGAAGCATTTTGAATGCGTTAAGAATTTTAACTAAACCTAGTAGGACTATAGCATAATTTTAATGCGGAGATCCATTGACAACCTTAACAGTGAATATTAACAACCCGAGAGGAGCTATTGATAACCTAGACAGTGTCTGTTGACAACTGATTTTATAGGATAATATAACCTCTACATAATATCAAATTACAACTAAATAGTATAACATTAACTTTAACACTAAAATCATTTCTATGAAAACTTCATAGCTATACTGCACTTATATAGTGTTTGCTGAAGGGCTATTGTATTGGAAAAAAATTGTTCTTTTCCAATAACCAAATCCTGCCATTTTGTTGAATTCATTTCGAAAATTAGTGTTGGCATCATTTGTGAACCACATGGCAACGATAGTGGGTCTTCACCCAACACATTGAGAGAAGACATAGACAATACATCTGAACCTTTGAATAAATCTTTCATTCTACATAATAAGACAAGTTATAGAGTTGTTAATGATAACCTTCGACCACTAAAATGACAACGTAAGCAAAAAAATTGACAACAAGCAATATTACTTCAAAATTAAAACAAGTAAATTCCACTTACACATATTGTTGTTCTATTAGACCATCCTTTGTTGGTTGTGAATTTTCATCTACAATGCCCAAAAATATATACTCATCAAAGGTTACTGTGATTTAAAACTTTTTCCCCCTTAAGAAGAAGTTTGCTCCACCTAATAGGATAATGTATATATCAAATGGTTGAAAATGACATTATTATTCATTCACATCTAAATCTAATTGTGTAATACCTGCCCAAAAAAAGAAAAAAGAAAAAAATGTTACGTTTAATATTGTTATAAAAATTAAACATGGCTAGGTTGTATTATCCTATAAAGTTAGTTATCAGCAAACACTGTTTAGGTTATCAACAGCTTCTCCTTGGGTTGTTAATACTTGCCCTTAAGGTTGTCAATAGATCTCCACATTAAAATTTTGCTATAATCCTATTGGGTTTAGTTAAAGTTATTAATGCCTTCAAAAAGCTTCCCACTTTAGTGTTAAAGTTATTGTATTATGCTATTTGGTTATAATTTGGTGTTATGTGGAGGTTGTGTTATCCTATAAAGTCAATTATTAGCGAACACTGCCTAGATTGTCAATAGCTTCCCCTTGGGTTGTTAATACTCGTCGTTGAGGTTGTTAACGAAGGTGTCACTGAAGACCCAACGCTTTCTACTCAATGACCCAGTTAGGGTGGGGGAGAGATTTTAGGCTAACTGAGTGACAATGTGACAACATGATTAGGGTAAAGGAGATAGCAAGACAGCAATGCACAGTTTGGGACAAGGAGAGACGCTGAGAGGCCCACTATGACAAGGGGAGATGGTGGATGGCAAAGCGATTGCAAGAGGGAGACACGACGCAATAGGAGAGCGATTGTACCATAGGAAGTGACTACGAAGGGAGAGACAACGCCAGGGAGTAACTGCAAACAGAGAGACGATGAGTATGAGAGACGTTGCTTGTGGGAGAGGGAGCAGTTTGAACATAGGCTGAGGAGAGAGAGTGTGTGTTTGAATTTTGAATTGGATATTGCTTATGTTGTTAACAGCTTCCTATTGGATTGTTAATACTTGTCATTGAGGTTATCAATCACATTGGCAGAGAAAATTGTGAATTGGGAATTTGAGGGATAATAATGTCATTTTACAATTACAATATAATACTCTAAGGTCCTTTAGGACCTGCTGCTAATTTTAACAATTCGTGGAATCTTAGATGAATAAATTTTACTCCTTAGGACTTGTGTGTAATTTTCCCTTTTTATATCAATGTGCAATTTTATTTTTAATTTATTTTTTTAAATTATTACCTTTTTAGAATATACATATGTCAATTATGAATAAATTTTAAAATAATGAAACATAATGAAAGTATTTTATAAATAGAAGTATTTCTAACTAGATTCCCAACAATATTTTTTTTTACAGTTGTAACTTAAAAATGTAGAAATATCTTAGATGAATTAGTCATTTAAGTCTAACTTTTATTTTTGGAAGCTAACTTTTATTTTACCTTCAAGAGTGATCTCATTTGAATAACGCGGA